CCGATACCTTCTAAAAACTATAGTAAATTCATTTTAGATCAGAAAATACCAATAATACCTCAAATTGTTTAGAATCTGATCCTTAACCTTAGATAATTAGGGCCTTATTAGTTTGACCTAAGTCTGACCCTTAATTTAACCTTAAGTAGAAATTACCTTTTTGCCCCTAATAAATTATTAAAAATTATTTAAAATTCTAAATTTTCTCCAAACACTTTGGAACACTTTCTCAGATCATTCCTGACTTTTAGGGGTTATTCCAATCAGTTTGGAGCTAATTTGGATCAAAACCATAAAATTCCCCCTTAATTAAATATTTTAGATAATTCTCATAAATACCCAAACTTTAGAAATTCATGATTAACTGTAGAAAATTCCAAATTAGGCAAACTCAATTGCATTCAGCTCCAATTAGGGTCTAGTATTTATTAAAAATATTAGGATTCTAAAAACTAACTTAAATTAGAAAGTCAACTTTCTGGTTAACCCCAGCCTATAGTCTAGGACCCGAAACTTGTAAAATTCATAGCTTTGCCTAGGAAGCCCCAAATCCTCAAACTACCTATCTAACTACTCATCTTAAAGTCTAGTATTTACATAAAGTGTCAGGAATCCCAAACATAGCCTATTTCTTATAGCGACCTTTTGGACCCCCTGAGCCTAGTACCTTGGAGGACCCGGGACTTTTCAAAATTGGCTAATATAATTTAAACTTCAAATATCACTTCCCTTGGTATTTAAAAGTGATCAACAAACTAAATCAATTGAAACGGATCATAATCTATTAATATTTGAACTTTAATTAAAGTTTTCTTTTCTAGCCTTCAACAAACTTGAACTCTAGGCAACTTTAACTAATTATGCAATTTAGGATCTATCCCAACCACACAAGCTTTACACACACATAGAATTGTTTTTCTTGGGCACCACTTTTAGACTTAGGTTAGGCCGGTATTTTCTTTTCTACTGTGTGCCGGGATTTTTATAGTTTTCACCGCATGCTGTGATGAACTGTTGCTGTGTTTGCTTACTTTTATTGCACTCTGAGAATGGATGTGATGGGTAATATATTTACCCTTATGTTAAGAATGACATATGTATATTATTGTTCTTTCAGGTGGCCATGCTCATGCAATGCTAAAGGGGGGCAATTGTCATGATTTCTAATGATATTTTGTGCATGTGCTTGCTCAGCCCCCCTAAATAAATGAGGGCTAATATCATTAAATAATAACTACTACATGTGCTCCAGAAATTGCTTAGCCCTCAATGATTAAGAGCATGGCTAAGAATATGGCTGTGGATGTGTACTTTTATTTTTATATAAAACTGCTTGGGATTTTTATTAGGATAACCTTGCAGGTAACTTAAGATTTACTATTTTTCAATTAATGTAATATTTATAATATTGGTGAGAATTGTGAAAATAACTCTGAGTTGCGATATTCTTATTCAGATCGAATTTCAAAAGAAGAAGGCATCCTCAAAGGGGAGAGTCTTATTCCATATGAAAGATCGAGCTTGGATGGCTTTAGATATCCAAAGAGAAAAGACAATACCCCCTGTAAGGGGAGGAATTGTCTCTTCGTTTAGATATTAAAGCCACGACGAATCTAAGGAGTCCAAGGAGGAGAGATCCAAGAAGTCCAAGGAGGATAGATCTAAGGAGTCCAAGGAGGAGAGGCCCAAGGAGTCAAAGGAGAGGAAGTTCAAGAAGACTGAAGACTTGAAGACCAATATCCCACTCAAAGTCATTTGTGTCAGTCATAGGCTTAAAAATCCGGGTTGTTGGGAGTGGTGCCCGGCCACTTTATTTCCTACAGACCCTGGGTTGTAATTAAAGAGCATTTGGCCTATGAACATTTACTTGATTAGTTTATTTATATTGATGTGTTTACTTTGCTTGTGCAGTAGAAATTGCCTGCTTTTTCTAGATTTCTTTTTTGCATGTCGCTTTTATTTTATCCTGGATACCGTTAGGCTCTCTAAGGACAACAAAATATTTTATACTCATAACTAATCTCTAAAAAATTTAAGTTTAAATAACATATAAACTTAATGAATTTAGAAAACTGTTGGAATCGTCCGGGGTCGCATGCATATTAATGCATTCTCTCCCTCCTAATAAGACACCTCCCCTCCTGCGGGTAGAGTCCGAATAATTTGGCCTATGAGGATGAAGTTCCAGACTTGGGGATGGCCAGTCTTTTCTAAAAATTATTTTTATAATAAGCCTATTTTTAAAATCTAAAGCATATTTGATTTGAAAACTTCAACTAGCATGCATTGCAATAGAAACTAATTAAAATTAAATTTTAATTGCATTAGTTAGGAGCATCTACTTGCATAAGTCCGGGACCAATTAGGAAACTCCCTAGATGTCGGTCATACTTTCAAAAACTGTACCACCCACCCATCTCTCATAATTGACCTGACATCATGGTTTTAAAGCGATTAGGCGGTTAGCTGGCTCCCCAATTCAGGCCGGGATAAGTCCAGGTTTTGCACTATATTAGTTAGGACACGGGTCTTAGTGTTGTTCGTAGAACACTAAGCCCAATCTAGATTTAGGATTCAAGGCTACTACATTCGGTCTCGTAGTATGCCTAAAATAATAGATAAGTTCCCTATACTTTAGGGACTATAAATCCTACTTATTTGCGTCATAGAATGACGTCATCTCCATCCTTCTCTCAAGCTTGTGTTGTCTGCTTGAATTCATTTTCTTCAGTTTCTCTTTAGTATCCTAGGGCCTCCGAATGCTGGTGTGAATCACACATGCTGATTGAGCCAAATCGGACATTTCTTCCCTTTGGATAGGACTTCCTATTCTTAGCCCTATGTGCCAACCCCACTTTGGAAGGGATAATGTATGATCCTTAATCGAGCCTTCTCGGGCTCCGGCCTGGGATGTAATTAACCACGGGGGCTTGCGCATGTGGGAAAGAAGAAGACATCCTCAAAGGGGAGAGTCTTATTCCATATGAAAGATCGAGCTTGGATGTCTTTAGATATCCAAAGAGAAAAGACAATACCCCCTGTAAGGGGAGGAATTGTCTCTTCATTTAGATATTAAAGCCACGACGAATCCAAGGAGTCCAAGGAGGAGAGATCCAAGAAGTCCAAGGAGGATAGATCTAAGGAGTCCAAGGAGGAGAGGCCCAAGGAGTCCAAGGAGAGGAAGTTCAAGAAGACTGAAGACTTGAAGACCAATATCCCACTCAAAGTCATTTGTGTCAGTCATAGGCTTAGAAATCCGGGTTGTTGGGAGTGGTGCCCGGCCACTTTATTTCCTACAGACCCTGGGTTGTAATTAAAGGGCATTTGGCTTATGAACATTTACTTGATTAGTTTATTTATATTGATGTGTTTACTTTGCTTATGCAGTAGAAATTGCCTGTTTTTTCTAGATTTCTTTCTTGCATGTCGCTTTTGTTTTATCCTGGATATCATTAGGCTCTCTAAGAACAACAAAATATTTTCTACTCATAACTAATCTCTAAAAAATTTAAGTTTAAATAACATATAAACTTAATGAATTTAGAAAAATGTTGGAATCGTCCGGGGTCGCATGCATATTAATGCATTCCCTCCCTCCTAATAAGACACCTCCCCTCCTGCGGGTAGAGTCCGAATAATTTGGCCTATGAGGATGAAGTGCCGGACTTGGGGATGGCCAGTCTTTTCTAAAAATTATTTTTATAATAAGCCTGTTTTTAAAATCTAAAGTATATTTGATTTGGAAACTTCAACTAGCATGCATTGCATTATAAACTAATTAAAATTAAATTTTAATTGCATTAGTTAGGAGCATCTACCTGCATAAGTCCGGGACCAATTAGGAAACTCTCTAGATGTCGGTTATACTTTTAAAAACTGTACCACCCACCCATCTCTCATAATTGACCTGACATCATGATTTTAAAGCGATTAGGCGGTTAGCTGGCTCCCCAATCTAGGCCGGGATAAGTCCAGGTTTTACACTATATTAGTTAGGACATGGGTCTTAGTGTTGTTCGTAGAACACTAAGCCCAATCTAGATTTAGGATTCAAGGCTACTACATTCGGTCTCATAGTATGCCTAAAATAATAGGTAAGTTCCCTATACTTCAGAGACTATAAATCCTACTTATATGCGTCATAGAATGACGTCATCTCCATCATTCTCTCAAGCTTGTGTTGTCTGCTAGAATTCATTTTTTTCAGTTTCTCTTTAGTATCATAGGGCCTCCGAATGGTGGTGTGAACCACACATGCTGATTGAGCCAAATCGGACATTTCTTCCCTTTGGATAGGACTTCCTATTCTTAGCCCTATCTGCCAACCCCACTTTGGAAGGGATAATGTATGATCCTTAATCGAGAGTCTTCTCGAGCTCCGGCCTGGGATGTAATTAACCACGGGGGCTTGCGCCTGTGGGAAATTGAATTCCACCATCTCATAAACCCCACTCGAGCTGATGTATCGGATGGGGGAAACCCGTGATTGTGATTAGGCCATATATATTATTACCCATCGAGGTGCGTAGGCAAAAGCCGCTATCCTCCATGGTTAATCGTATGTATGGTCCAATCTGTCGCTTCCACTTGGCCCGTTTGCGCATTACTCTTTCGGAGGTCCACAATACTGTCACTAGAATCTCTTAGGTTCAAATCATTCTATCTAAATCTATTATTTTTTTGAGAGAAACAAATAGCTGCATTAATAACTAGAAAAACAAATCTAAATCTATTAAGTAACTATAAAAATCCTATACGGATATATATGAATATGCAGATTATTTGTAGAGTGAATGTGTAGTCAACAATTAAAGTTGAATAAATTTTTTATTAAATTAAAATATAAATAAAATAATAAATTTGACTCTAAACCGCCTCTAAATGATTTAGCAGTTTTAAATGAACTAAAAAAGATTAACCCATCTTATGCTTTAAATTTATAGTCAACGACAAAAAAAAAGTAAAAAGAATATACATATGGATAATTATCCGGAACAGCTTCGTGGGCCGTCAATGCGAAAAAGATCAAACAGGAGCGAATACAGTCTGCAGTGTTTGCGCGTTACAAGCGTTTCGAGCGTCCGCTTAGCATCTTTTTGAGGTCAGCCATTTTCTATCTGGTATCACTAGGGTAACGAAATCTTTGCTGGTCTCATTAGAGTGTGGGGAGAGAGTACTCGGGCGGCTGTCAGCAGTGATCGGTGATGGATAGTCCAAGGACGCCTCGTGAGTTGTCGAGCCCGGAGGCGAAGATCGGGCTTCGCGTGGAGGATCTATGGGATGTGCAGGAGCCGATGCTCAGCCCATCAGAGAAGCTCAACTCCTGCTTCGAGAGCATACCGGTTTCCTCCTTTCCATCCGCTGCTCCTTCTCTAGGTAACCGAAACGCCCCTTCTCAGACGCATAGTTAACTTTCGCTCAATTGCGTGCAAATTATGTAGCGCCAAGACGCTGCCATTTGATGAGTGAATATTCAGTGATTCAACATTGGATGGTTGTCTGTTAGAACTACTGCAGTTGTAGGCTATCCAGATAAAAAAATGGGCTTGAAAATTGTGGCAATTTTATGCAAAAGCTATGAAAGGTGCGTGGTATCAGTAATTTGTTCATGCTAATCTTAGTTTTGGTTAAATTAGAGTTACTAACTTCACAGAACTAAACAGGGAACGATAATTAGTCGAGTGAAAGTCGAACTCCTTGATTTCAAATTTCGCATAAATCAGGTTCAAGTCAACTAAAATATAATCCAGTTTAAGCCGGCAGCCTAGCTGACTCTAGTGGGGGCCCACTAGTTAAAAAATTAGGTATATATATAAATAAATATGTTTACTGGTTCTTTACTTCTTTATTAAAGCAAGAGATTTCCTTTCGAAAGAAAATAAAGGAAATTCTTCTATAAGTTCGGCACGTCTTTGGGCGTTAAGGTGGTTATCCCACCAACCATTTAAAACTCATAAAAGCAGAGATGATCATTTGACCGATTTGTGTGGTTGAATTCTTCTAAAGGACAACTATACAGCATACGGTGCAATGTATCCTGTATCTGTTTTTCAGCATACTCATCAATATTCATTTATAGATAGTTAGAAAAGATTTATCAAAATCTTTTTTAATACTATCATCAGATTTTTCATAAAGGATCTTAACAGGACTAGGGGTTTGAATCGAGGGCTAATTTTGTGAAGATCCCAAAATTGGTCTTGTGGTTCTCTGATTGTTGAGTACTAAACTATTCTTTAATTAATCTAAATCAAGTTCAGAATGATTATTTGAAGTGAGTTCATTCTATGTGGTAGAAAGATTAGTCACTTTTAATTTGTCTATTAAATCCTAGAAGTCCTTGTTAGAAGGTCCAATGTTAAGAGAGATAGCAATGATCTGATAAAGCTTATGTTCTAGTTTGAATAGATGAGTACAGAGGATTATAATATTAACATAATAAATTATATATTATATATATATATATATTAAAATAATAAGAAAAGATTTCATGATAGTAGTTCAATATTAGTTTTACCAAATGCCAAGATTTCTAAATTGTCTGATTTGTCATTTCTTTAAGAATAAGATAGCAAGCAGGGTGTTGTGCATGCCTTTGAGGAATAAATCTAATTTTCAAATCTTTATTAGATGTCTGAAGAATTTGATCAATTTCTTGATTGACTATTGGCATTGGTGTTGTACAGTTAGGAAAAGTCCAAGAATTTGGAAATTTGATTTCATCCCATTTGATCAGTCCATTTATAGCTCTGTGACTAGTTAACAAATTAGTTTCAATAATAATGGCACGATCAAAAGTTTGCGCTATTCTTTTAAGATCAAGGCATAAGGTATTTATTGCCTTAATGTGAATATGATATAATAAAACATTAAAACTATTGTTTATGATTTGGTTATAAAATCATAGTCATGCAATTGTAATTGAAGTTTATTAGATTTACATCAGCTAGAGATAAGCTTAAGTTAGGGAACATGTTAAAATACATCGATCCATGACATAGGCGAGCCTTCATCACTTTCGTAAGAGATTGTGCTCAGTTTAGGCAATGTCTATTTCTTAAACAAGCTAAAATAAAATCATTTAAACCATTATGTGTTTAAAAGCTATTTGAAAAGCTATTTGAATTAATCCTTTGAATTAATCCAATATGTAAAATTATAAAGTTTTCTATAATTATGCAAATCATCTTTAGCTAGAAAATGAATAAATTTTTTCATTAACACATATGGTAATAGATTGTTCAATAGTTTTGATTGAAAACAAGTAGAATTTCTAACTCAACTCCAAATTTGTCCCATTAGCAGTAGAACTAAGAGGTGATTCTTTTTATCATTACAATGATCCATGAGTGTTTTTGTTTGAGGTTTTTGATAAGAAATATTCATCATGGCCTAAATGTAGATCTAATGGTTGAATAAAATTTATACGAGAGCATCAATATAACTATATATAGTTATCTCCTGAAAAAGGTTTAATCATTGGTCTGTATGATGCAAGGTTTTTTTATCTTGCTAATTATTTAGCACAATTTTTAACATGTCATATGATGGTTATAAGCTTTTGCGCCCTTTCAGTTTTTCAATTCAAGATTGGGTCTAGCTTCCCAACTTTTAGAATTGAAGATGTTCTCTCAATTCAGGGTTGGGTCCAAATTCCCAACTTCTAGACTTGAGAGTATATGTTTACCTCATCAGGTCTTTCGCCTTTACTTGTGCGAGCTTATTCCCCAACATATGCCTTAAATCACTTTATACTCTCATTTTCATATACATTCCATAATCATATCAATAATTTAATTAACCACATGCATAATCCACATATGAATCAATTGTAATGAATTGAAATACTTGGTATCATGTGAAAAAATGCTATCATAAACATGATAAATATCAATTTGCAATTTTATAAAATTGTTACTATTTCTTATGCATCGTTTGGTATCTCACCTCACTTGGAATTCGTTCTTCTTGGTCTTGTTTTTCTTCTCCTTTTATGCATCTTCTCCTTTTATCATGTGAAAAAAATGCTATCATAAGATAAATATCTATTTGCAATTTTATGAAATTGTTATTATTTCTTATGCATTGTTTGGTATCTCACCTTACTTGGAATTCGTTCTTCTTGTCTTGTTTTCTTCTCCTTTTATACACTACCTAAACACATACATTTATTTTTTTTATTTACACCTGCTTAAAAATAAATAAAACAAACAATATGAATATATTACAACTTACCTCAATTGAGTTCTTCATTCGACCCAAATTCTTTTCTTAAACATTTTGCAATTCCCCTCCTGAATTCATAAATTAATAACATTTGAATTCAGCCATCAAATTATTGATTTCAGTTATATAAATTTATCCAACAATTTAATCTCATTTTTATTATATAAAGTCATCTAACAATTTATTTGAATTGCTAAATCATTTTCTTTTCATACTCTTCTTTCTCCTCTTTCTCCTCTTTCCTTCTAAAATTCAGCAATCCCAAACAACTAACTTCAATAATATTTATTAGATAACACAGATGCTTGTACAAAGAGTTTTCTGATTTCAGATAACATAGATGCTTAAATTTTAAATCTCTTTATCAAATTAGTAATTATACCTGCTCCTAAATATTTGCCTTAGAAGGCATGAACTCGCAGCAACCTATTTCTTCTTTGCGTTCCCTCCTAGTGGCTCCGCTGAATCCCTTCTCCAGCTCACCCACAACGTCCAACTTCAGAGAACGATGGGTAGGAAATTAATACTAAGTATCGCATAAACCCTAACATCCACTACTCTATTATTGCTTAAACAAATAAAACAAAAACTCTCAGCTATACACACCATACATTATAATATAGATATTCTTAATTCCACTAGGCTCTTGCATTCCTCTAAGCTCTAATGCTAACCGTTGGATGGACTAAGGGAAAGATCAGCCAAGGCATGCTAGCCTAAGTGGAATCATGGAATTTAGAATCTAAATTGCATTAATTCTTCATATACCTAATACTTTGATTACCATCAATTGCTATAATCATAATAATTTAATTACAAACAGTTAAATACATTAGCTATACCATTAGTACAATTAGCTTAATACTTTATGCATACTTATATATGTCAAACTACTCGGTTTTAAAAGCAGAATTTAATGAAAATCAATAAATATTTAGAGAAAATTTATACTTACATGTATTTTAAGTACTTGGGTATTATAAAAACTGAGTTCTTCACATTGTAAAGAAATTATGCATACTTAAATTAAACCTAACAGTGCTATTACTTTTAGCAAATGCATGATTAATAGGATATTGCATCATAAAGATTAGGGATTAAATCCTTAAGGAGAGAATTGCATTTGCTAGTGCTGATCCTCTTCGATAAATTTTGTTTAACTATTGGATCTATGTGCAGGCTATGATGAAGGATTTTTAAATTGAAAATCCTAAATGCAAACACTTACGAATATTTGAAATGATGAAATAAGCTGGAGAAAAATGCTTCTTGATTCTATTATTGTTAGGAAAAGTTTATAATTAAGTTAGAAATTCTACTTGATCTTATGAAAGATATTTGCAATTTTTGGGTTGTCACACTTCATTTTCACCCTCTTCTGGACAATCTGAGATGACAAAAGTGAACAATTTGGACAAGTGAAATTCTTACCATATACATCATCATTTAATTTGTTAGGATAGAATAAGTGAAAAAGTAATCTAGCTAAATCATCTAAAAAATTACACTTAATAATCATCTAATAATCCATCATAAAATTGAAATGAGAGCGTACATGTAAAATCATCATTTTAAATATAGAACCTCTAACATAACTTCTAAAATAAATGTATACATATCCATGTTCTTTAATATACATCATCATTATGTACATCTTTTATAATATCTAACATCATTCACCCAAAATATTTGTTTACATAGCCCAGGTAGTCACTTGTCTTCTATTTCACCTACCCCCTTTTCTTTTTCTTAAAATCATGGTATGACATCGAATAATTTATAAGATTAATGAGATAAATAATTCTAATATATAGTTCAAACATATAAAAAAAAATCATAAAATGTCATGCTAATTATATGAGCAAAAAGAATCATTTACCTTCAATTATACAAGTAGCTTAGTGCAGTAGCTATTAGTTCAATACATAAGTTATTAATCAACCAAATGAAGGATAAAATAAAAACAACATTTTAAAAGGCGAAATCGGGAATCGAGGCGTTTTGGCTAAGCGAGGCGAGGCGTAAGCCTCGAGGCGGATCGAGGCGTAAGCCTAGAAAATTATAAAAATAAAGCAATTTAAAATTATGAATAATGACAAAAATGTCAAAAAATAACAAAATATTACGTCAATTGTGAATTTGATGATTTGTTCTAAGATAATATTAGTATATTACTGGAAAAGAAGATTTAAAATAAACTCACTTAAAAATAAAACATCCCTTTAGGATCAAGACCCAATGCAGACTCATCATCACTTTGATTTTCTTCAGAAGAATCTTCATAATTAATGTCAAAGTCATCCTCAAACTCTTCTTCATCTATAATATTTTTTCCTTTATCCCCTATATCAGTTAATATTTCGTTAGCTCTAGAATGAAACAATAATAATATAAAAAAATAATTCATTATATTTAAGAATACCTTTGAATTTTTTTGAAGCTCCAATCTCACTTTGTTTCTTTCTTTTATATACATGAGTAGTTGCTTCACTGTCTTCATTGATTTGAGTTTCTCCTTCTACTTCAACTTCAGAAACATCAACATTCTTAGGAGTAACCCATTCATCATCAGATTGTAAATCATCAACAAGTAAAGAGTCAATTTCATTATCAATGCTTCCTTGCTTCTGTAATTTGAGATGTCTATCTTTCAGTTTTTTGTTAAACATAACATAAACAAGTTTGTTCATTCGATCTGTGGCCAATCGATTTCTTCTCTTAGTATGAATTTGATTGAAGATGCTCCAGTGTGGGTTGATGATGTATACTTGTTTGTAGGAATGTCCTTGATTCCATCTCATTGCCTCTCAAATCAATAGGCACTTATTTGTATATTGTATGAGATCATTTAGCACATACGAAATCGTAGATGTAAACTTGCAACTTACTACTGAGCGTGTACGCTAAGTGGTACGCGTCGTTCAACATAGTTTCATTTGGACCCTCGTAGGGGATCGTCGTAGGAAGATGTACTTGTTCACAGTGGTTCGTTGTACCATACCATACACACAGTGTTGTTTATCCACAGTGATTTGTAGTCTTTCGAGGGATCCGCTATACTGCTACGACCTCCTAGCGGTATTTGTATGGAGAACCTTGCTTGATTGGCACGAAACTCGTAACCTACCGTTGTTCACCCAATCTCAGGTGATTGATAATTGATTTGTTTGTAGAAGATGGAATCTTTGATTGCTGTCTCCAGTATTGCCGAAAAAGGGAAGTAGAGGGGAGCAATGTATCATGCTCAGTACGCGAGCAATACTTGCTCGGTACGAGCGGTGTTG